TTAATTTTCCTTTTCTACCCACCCTCAAAAAACTTAAAATGTGATATGCAAGGCCTCTAAAGGTTTGTACTTCAAAAAAATTAAGAAAGAAGAAACAACAATATCTTGGCAGTTTGTTAGTGTATGGGTGTTTTTAAATTTGAATTGATTTATATTTGTTGTTTATGATGAATAATTTCCCCTTTTGTTTCAAACTTCCTTTTTGTTTATTTGTTTATTTTTCGCTATAACTTTAAGGTTTTCTATTGAAGAAGTTCTGCTAAATAAGATTTAATTAGTGATGTCTCAAAAATCAGTCAACGCTATTACGTAGCCAACTATACTACAGCACGTGCCTTGCACGTGCGTTTGACTATTGTTACCAAATGTTTCTGGTACATCCTAACCATCATATAGTCTGATTTGTTACCTCAAGTAACATCTCAAGTTCCTCAACATCATTCTCCGCGAACTGTTGCTATACTGGCCATACTGACTCTAGAAATCTTTGAGCCCATAGTAGGCGATCCAAGGAACCAACTAGCAGCACCCGAGCCACTAACAGCACTGGCCAACTTTCTAGAAAGGTAAAGGTCTGCCATATCATCATCATCGTCCAAAAGTTGTTCTAACTCATCCCTCACCTACAGTCCATTACAAGAACAAAACCAGAAGTATTGAATACCACAATCTCCCGTTAAGATTTTCAAAATGCATTAAGTACTATGAAGTGAAGCAAAGCTCTTTAATTATTTGATGGACTCCAAATCTAAAGTACACAAGTATGTGTCGACATTTATGTTTAGATATCATGAAGCTTCTGGGGTGCGACCATTCATGTATTTGAGCAGTTACCAGAAACTGGCCATACATGTAATCAACTGATTCACTGGCCAGTTAAATGTAAATATGGAACCATGCCCCTGTTTGGCCCCAATTTTTTAAAATTCATTTTTTCCCAAACTCATTTTCAGCCACATGTTTTACGAGACCTACAACTTTTATCAACTTTTCAACCATACACTTCATCAACTTTTATCAAAATCTAGAAAAATATGATTTTTAGCCAAACCAAATAGGGGCTAAACAATTTACAATTTGCAAGGTACAGAATACGGAATCATCTCATGCACGATAAAGGAAATGCATAATTGCCTACCAGGACAACTATAAGCGAGAAAATTACTATAATCCTTCACTGCATATGTAGATGTTGCCAAATATGAAAAAACAACTTGAACAATAAACAGAGAAATTTGCGCAACTCTTCACAAAAAATTTGGGATGGAGGAAAAGTACCACTTTTTTGTACACGGGCAGTCAACCTTGTCATTTGACTCTTCAATTTGCGGACTCTGTAAGTTATGGCTACTAATCTACAATTACAGTAGTTTAAAGAATTAGTAGAAGATCCTTAAAGAAACTACAAAAGACACAGAAAATTAAAAGGACAAGGGAAAAAAACGAAGTAAAAACTTATATCTATTAACGAGATCTGCAATTTAAACAGATGCTATCATACTTCTACTAAAATTCCATGAATATCGAAGGTCTATTCGAAAAGTTTCACTACATTAAGGTTTAAAGTATTGAATGAAGCAGTATTCTAGCCCAAGTATACTGGAGACCATCTACTACCACTGATGAGTGCACTATGTTAAGGTCAGATGCAGCAGATACCAAAACAAATTCTGCAAGCATTTGGTAAAGAGCTTTTCTAGGTTAGGTCAGTAACATCTGACGTACAGAGCAAACCTACTAGTTGATCCGTTGTTTTAAATTTAGCAAAAATAGGACAGCAAAAGAAATGCACCTTTGATGTAAGCATATCTAAAGCTGCATAGACAGCAGTCTCCAATTCTATAGTGTGTGCAGAAAGAAAAATACACATGGCTTCCAATGCCACTTCCAGAGCTTGAAATTCAAAAGGAGAGTCTGCGTGGAATCCTGCAGATCATTAGGTAGTATTGTAGAGTCCATGCATAAAATGAGAAATGGATTGTTTTGACAATTCCACGCAGATCATTAGTTAGTATTGTAGACTCCATGCATAAAATGAGAAATGGATTGTTTTGACAAAGAAGACGGGAAATCTAACGAGGAAAATTGGAAGGAGTGCTCATTTATATTTATCAACCAGTGACAATCAGTAACTTATGCAACAGGCAATAACCATCGAACGAAAGGAATCAAAAGAATATAAGAAATACCATCCTCTTCACCCGTTTCAGTATCATGTTGCACAACAAACTCCTTGCCATCTCCAAGATTTTCATGATTAGCACTTACTGGTTTTTGCCGCCTTCGTAGTTCTTCGATAACCGGAGTAACTATCATGGGATGGGTTTTTTTTTTTTGTTTTTAAAGTTCCGTTTGGTATCGATTGAAATCTAAATTTTAATCTAAATCAAAAGTTAACAATTAATTTTAATAACATATTTCATGAAATCCATAACTGTTTTAACTTTTATCAAAATTGACTAAAAATTTGATTTTAATCTCCACCAAACAGGGGCAAAATCACAATAAATTTGAATTTCGATAATATGTTAATTTTAAAAATTCTTCGAC